GCCTCACAGAAGCTGCGGTGGACCATTTTATTATCACTTTTCCTACGGCAACCATACTTAGTGTACTGGAAACCTGGAAAAGGAAATACGTTTCTTTGGGTTTAATCACTTACTCATGCTCTCAGATATTTGATTACTCATTCAATCCTTCATACATTGAGTCATTCATTCAATAATATTGATTGTGTGCATACAATAAGCCAGTCACCACAATAGGTGCTGGAGATCCCCAAGGGAATTAAAGAAAACAACATCCTTATCCTTTCAGAGCCTACATTTGTTGGATATTTTCATTTATTAGATAGCAACTGTGTACTTATTAATGAACTGGGCTGTAAATGGACACAGGCTAGTGTGACAGTTGGTACTCAGCCGGGTGGGCTGTGCTAGTGCTATGTGAACAACTTACTGCAGGGGGCGCCAGAGGAGCAGAGACTGAGCTTCCTCCGCTGGAGGACCAGTGCAGCGCAGTCTTCAAGTTCAATACTGGGTAAGGGAAATGAAGCAGAATTGTTCTCAAAGCCAAGGAAATTACATGTCTGGAAAACCTCAGGTCCTCAGATGGCTGAAGTATATGTGAAGAGGCAAGAGACAGAAAGGCTCGGATCCTGACAGGCTTCAGGGTCAGATGAGTGTTTGGACTTTATCCTGAAGTTACAGGGAGTGCTGGGTGGGGGCCTCTCGACCACCAACTTTTAATTGTATATATATGTATATATGAAGAGAGAGAGAGAGAGGTTGCCAAAAAATGTTTATACATTTTAAGAAAGGAAAAGTATATTAAAGTATTAAAGTTGTAATACTCAAGTTATGTTTGCCTTCTGTAATTACAAGAGATACAAGATATGATATACAATGTAACAAACGTTATCATGTATATATTGAGTCTTACAATTTTAATACAGTTTTATTTTCTATTCTTAAAATGTTTTTATACTTTTTTTGGCACCTTCTGTAAACACACACACACACACACACTTGCAAATATATACACACACCTACAGGGTGTCCCAAAAGTCACCCTTAAAGTTACCATACATAGGGAAAATAGTAAATTGTAGCTAAATGTGTCTTTGTTTACAGAACATTCACTATGCAATTTTACAAAGAGGTGGCCTACATGTAGACAATATTTTGTAAATATTTTATATAATTTTGTAATGAATATTTTGTAAATAAAGGTACATTTAGCTACAATTTCCCATTTTCCCTATGTAGGGTGTCTTTGGGAGTGACTTTTGGGACACCCTGTATGTGTCTGTGTGTATACATATATACACACATGATATATATACACATGGGTGTATATAGATGTGTATATATATACAGACGGGTGTATATAGATGTGTATATATACAGATGGGTGTATACAGATGTGTATACATATACAGACATACATATGTAGTTTTGAAAAATTTCAAACATATAGAAAGTTGTAAGGAAAGTACAATGAACACGTGTGGACCTTGCATCTGGATTAATCTTTTATGACTATGTCACCACACTTGCTATATTTCTTTTTTATGTGCATATTATTTTCTAAGCCATTTGAAAGAAAGTTATAGCCTTTCTGATCTTCGATTCTAACTACTTCAGCATATGTTTCATAATAGTATATAACTCTCTTACATAACTACAAGTAACTCTTAAATCAGGAAATGTAGGTGCAGATCCAATGCTGTTATCTCACGTTCAGACCATAACCAAACATTTCCAGTTTTCTTTGTAATGATTTTCCAGTCAAGAACCATGTGTTGCATTTAACTCTTAGGTCTCTTTAGCCTCCAACAATCAGGAATAATTTCTGAACCTCTTTTGTCTCTCATGGCATTTGGTCATTTTGTAAGATGTTCCACAGTTTGGCTCTGCTGAACGGTGTCCTGTCAAGGAGCGTCAGGTTATTCATTTGGGGCAAGGGCACTATGTAACATGATGGATGCTGTGTCTTCAGGGCAACACGTTAGGAGACAGAAGGATTTTCACTGGGGAATAACCCTACTTATGCATTCACCCACGCATTCACTCAAGAAAGATTATCCTAGAAATAAGGGAAGAGAAGGAAATCAAAGTTAGTTGACGAACGACAAGCCTCTTGCAACAATCTTTCCTTCCAAACGATGAGGTCTGCTGACAGAGGAGAGGCTGCAGACAGAGGAGAGTGTCCCTGAGGAATCTCACGGCCAGGGGGGCACCTGAACCAGCAGCAGGGAGTCTAAACTAATCAAGTATCTTGTAATGGACAAAAAGTGTGACTTAAAACAATTAAGTAAACATATTTACACCCCCTCAAAAAACCTTTTGGAAATACCTCCTTGAATTTAGAAAACAAATGGTTTGGACGGGCATTCCTTACTGTGGACAATTTCTTTCTGTTCTCAATTACTCCCTGTCATTTTTGTCACAGCCCCTGGCCTTCTCCTGCCCATTGGGAAGAATTTTGTCTAGGCCAGTGTGGTGCTGGAGCTCTTGTTCAGAACTAGTGGAACAGATGATGGGATAAATGGAGGCTGCTGAGCTGCCTGACTGCGTGTACTTGAAGGGCAGACAGGAAGGGCAGGCGGTGGCACCCACAATTCGGGAGCATTCTGGAGTCTGGCGAGCTTGGAGTGTGAAGGGCACCACCGCAGTGAGTGCAGGAGGTGAGAACCCCGATAGGCAGGGCAGGGGGCGTCCAGCCTGCCCCTGCTAGGAAGGGTCCCGTCCTGTGCTCATTCCAAGATCTCCATAAAAACGTTTTGTATTAATGTTTCGGTGGTATGTTTGGGTTTCTCAGATCATGGCCTCAACTAGAGACAGTTTCTAAGGCAGAAGCAAGATTGGCTTTATATGAATTACACTGTAGTATAACAAATGTATTCAATTGTTACCTCCACCACAGGGCTTGGAACATTGAGACCAGCTCTTCAAAGCCCACTCAAAAGTGTCTAACTCCTCCTGGATGACGTTGTTGCTGTTGATGGTGGGAACCGAGTCCTCGTGGATGATGTACTTGTACGTCAGGCTGGAGCGGGTATCATTCTCCTGAGGTATAATCTAACACACACAGGAAATCAATATGTAAATCACTGCAGAGTTTTACATTTTGAGTGTAAAATTGTAAATATTTCAGAATGTTAAATATTCTTAAATGCTCTTATTAAAACTGAAAAACTTCCACGTATTTTCTAAAATTATAATTTTTTGTTTCAATCTTAAGAAAAAGATACAAATATATATAAACCTTTGAATGTAAAAATATGAGAAGTCTATACACTGTGGAGTGTGAGGCTGGATTGTCAAAATTACACC